GCCAGTAGTACATATAGGAAAGTTCATTACACTTCATTTCCAAAACACACAAAGCAGAACTGGAGGTGTGGCTCAAGTGTTAGAACACCTGCCTGACAAGGATAAAACCCTGAGCTTGGTACTGGAGCAGTACACTATTGCCAAAACAAACAAAAACAAATGGTCTGGAAATGGAGACCAGTGATAGAATTACCTAGTATATCATGGCCCTGAATTTGAGCTCTGGTGCCGAAGGGAAATGGGAGGGAGGTAATACATTTATTGGAACACAATGTACTTGTTCATGTAGAACCTTTCCTAATGCTAGCCCAGGAGCTTCCATGTGCCACCCTTTCCACACCACAGAGGGGACCTTCAAAACGCAGGGCATATCCCTCTGATGGAGGAAGGCCACTCAAAATATACTCTGTCCACAGACAGTGGTTTCACCACATCTTACCCCACTCACTGTGCTTGGGCCACATGGCCTCCTACCAATCTCCCTCCCCATTCTGCCAGCTTGTTACAGGTTAGAAGTGTGTTCTAAAAGATGTTGCCATCCTCATCCCTGATCTCCGTATAAAACTAAGGAACGAGGTATTTACTACAGATGTAATCAAGATGATGGTGCCAGGTTGGCCTTGCATCCAATATGACTGTGTCCTTATAAGTGGAGGTGGCTGTATGATAACAGGCAGAGACAGGACTGGTAAAGCCGCGGGTCACCAGCCACCACCAGAATCCAGAAAGATATGAGCAGAGCTTCTATGGGTTTCAGAGAGTGCGTGGCCTGGTGATCATTTGGTTTGGGGTTTCTAACCTCCAGAAGTACCAAAACAAATCACCCTACCTAGTTTGTGACCAATTGTTACAGCTCTTCTAACAAAAACATCAAATATGCCCCAGCGTTTTCTGGTCTATCTACTCAAAAAGCCCTTCTCCAGACCAACTTCCTTATTCCTAAGCATTCCTGCCATCGCTTTTCCTTGGTAAAGGGATGGCATCTAAGTGGGCTACAAACACCAGCAGCTCAGGCCATGGCTTGCTTCTTGGTGTCTAGCCACACCTGGTAATTATACTGTGTATACTTTTAAATAAGAAGATCGCCTGCCTTCCTGCTAGGATGTCAGTTCCATGAAGATAGACTGTCCAGCTCATTGCCACTCACACCCAGTGCCTGCCACGTGCTGGACAGAGTGACTCTCCACACCATGGTGGGGGCAATCGATCAGATTTCTCTGAGTAATCATTACAGCTTACCATTTGTCACACGCAGCCACTGTTTTCTCTTGCACTGAATCCCTTTTCCCCATTCTTCTTCTGATTAAGGAGACAGAGTAAATCTAAATTTAGTTTGTGTAGCTCAGAAGTGTCAATCATGGCAAATAATGAATTGGGGGATTCTGCTTCCCCCCTTCCCTGAAGCATTGAGCTGAAACCAACAAATTCATTTTATTTAGAATCACAGGCTGAACTCAGTGTTGTCTGTGACAGGCAAGTGCTTTATTCACTAATTAAGTCACCCAGGCTCAGAAAAACCCTCTCCCTTGTGGCAGTGGCGCCCTCTTATCTCAGTCCAGAGACTGTCTTTTAGCCTTGTGTTTGCTAATTGAATTGGTATATAATTATGTGCAAAATGTGTAAACTGGAAAAAAATGCACATTCTCTTTCTGTGGGGAGGGGAAGAGGAGGGGGTGGGTGTAATTCCCACATAGTTCTGCAATTTCTCCAGCCTTTCTAGAGTTCTTCCCAGTTTTCTTAGTGAACCTGCATTCAGAGTTTACAATTTCTGAATTAAGAGCTATGTTTTCTCCCAGTTTTAAAAAGGACTTGTACACAGTGTATTTTATTTGTTTTCATTTCATAAGAAAATAACAAAATTTCTCATGGGACAGCTGTTGTATTTTATGTTTGTAAGAAGGAAGTCATAGAGCTGGGCACTGGTAGCTCATGTGTATAAAGCCTAGCCATTCAGGAAGCAGAGATCTGAGGATCATAGTTCAAAGTTAGCCAGAGCAGCAAAGTCCATGAAACTCCTTTTTCCAAGAGATCACCAAAAAGCAGGAAGTGGAGCTGTGGTCAAGTGGTAGAAAGCTTTGAGCACAAGCTCAGGGATAGTGCCCAGGCCCTGAGTTTAAGGCCCAGGAACAGCACACACACACACACACACACACAGGTTATTAGATTAGGTGTAATAATTGTGGTACTCTGTTGGATATATGGTACTCTGTCCGTTATAATGGATGAGTTCATAATACCTGTATCAGGAAGGCTTAAACAAGAATTTTGAGGTTGACTTTTTTTTTGTCGGTCATGGGGCTTGAACCTGGACACTGGACCTGGACGCTGTCCTTCAGCTATTCAGCTGAAGGCAAGCACTCTACCCCTTGAGCCACAGCATCACTTCTGATTTTCTAGTGGTTTATTGGAGATAAGAGTCTCACAGACTTTCCTGCTCAGGCTGGCTTTGAACAGTGATCCTCAGATCTCTCCTGAGTAGCTAGAAAGAAATACAGGCATGAGCAACCGGCGCCCGACTTTTACTTTTGTTTCTTGTTTTTGGCCAGTCCTGGTGCTTGAACTCAGGGTGTGGACATTGCCCCTGACCTTTTTTTTTTTTTTGCTCAAGGCTAGCACTCTACCACTTGAGCCACAGTGCCACTTCCAGCTTTTTTTTTTCTGTTTATGTGGTACTGAGGAATTGAACCTAGGGCTTCATGCATGTTAGGCAAGCACTCTACCACTAAGCCATATTCCCAGGCCCAGAATTTTGAGTTTTAAAGTCAATAAAATGTAAACAAAATGAGTGAAACTTGTTAATTCATATAATAAATGCTAGTATATTTGCTATTATTATTATTATATTGCTAGCATATTTGTTAATATCTTTCTTTCTCTGGTCAGATGCAAGTTTAACCTGTTCTTGCAGTTGTTTTTGTGAGATCAGCACTTTTCTGCTTTGTCACTAATCATCAGCACTCCCCCTGGGAGAGGCAGACACCCCGGTTATCTCTGTCTGGCAGGTGGGGCCTTAGCTCCCAGGATAGAGGAGTGTCTTACCCAGGGCCTCCTGAAGGTGATAATAAAGATTCACATAGATCAAGACATCTTAACCCCCTTGAGCCTTTCCTCATTCTCTGCTCTTGTCTATTCTTCATTCTTCATTCTGCACAGCATTTCTGAGTGTGGACTATATAGCCTTTTTAAGTAGTTTATTTAGAAAAAAATGAGTTTTGGCTTTAGATAGAAGAGAGTTTCACAGACTTTTCCTGCACAGACTGGCTTCAAACCGTGATCCTCAGATCTCAGCCTCCTGAGTAGCATGAGCCACCAGTGCTTAGCTTCTTCTTCTTCTTCTTTTTTTAATAGTAAAGAAGCAAGTTTATTGAAAATGAAAAGAGAGTATAGGCTATGTAGAGACGGGTAAGAGAGTTCATTGAAGTCCCCAGGGAAGTGCACTTCATGCTTTATTTCCCTCCTACTCCAAGGACATGGTTTCTCCACTGGATACAAGCACAGAAGTATGATTTGCTATGCCCTATGTGAATAAGGCATTACTTCATTTATAGAGGTAGGATTTTGAGTGGGAACTCAGAGCCCAAGGCTCAATGAGAACAAGAAGTTCCGTGATGAGCCACATGTTGCCTGTGACATAGGATTATTTTTAATAAGTAAACTATTTCAAGAACATATATTTTCAGTGTGATCTAGGCTTCATCTTCCCTGAATGTTTTATAGATGGCTTCCCTATTTCCTTCAGGCCTTAGCCCAAACATCAGTGCGCATGTCTCTGGTTCATGTTTAAAATTATAATGCCCACGCTCACCTACCCTACCTTGCTTCATTCTTCCTAATGCAAGTCATGCATGTTCTGATTGTTTTTCTCTCTCTCCCCAAGCTTTATATAAGCCCCTGGATGGTCTGTTCATTGCTTTTTTCCAGTGTACAGAGTAAGTGCTTATTATTACTTCAAGAATGAATGATGCCTAAGATCTTTTTGTACCAAGGGCTGGTTTTACAATCTACAATGTTTTGGACATATATGGGCAGGATGCGCTGGCAGTGGTATATTCGTGTAGAAATGGCTATAACTGGTGACATTTGTGGTGGGCTTGTTCTCAGCTGCCTCTGTGTGCAAGTTTGGGGACAGGGTTGCTAAATTGAGAAAGTGGACAGAAATAATCATGACACGTCTTACTACTCCCTTCAAGATAGGTATCTAGCAGCCTAATCTTCATTTTTCTTTTTGGAGTTAGAGGGCTGGTAGTCCGCCTTGAACTTCTGGTGCCAGGCACTGACCCTTAGCCTTTTCAATCAAGGTCTGGTGCTCTATCACTTGAGCCACAACTCCACTTCATGCTTCTTGCTGGTTAACTGGAGATAAGTATCGGAGATTTGTCTGCCTGGGTTGGCTTCAAACCATGATTCTCGTATCTCAGCCCCCTGAGTGGCTAAGATTACAGGCCTGTACCATGCTCTGCATTGGGCTTCCTTCACTTCTAGTTTGTTTTGTGGTCTCGCTTATCAAACTGCTACAGAGAGGAGCTGCAAGAGAAACGCAATAATGATGTAAGTGTCTAATATAAAACTATTCTGGAAACAAAGTGCAGAGCTGCAGACTGGAGAAATAAAAGCATGTTCACCTGTAAGTAATTGAAATGGAAATGTCTAGAAAGTTGCTGACTCGTGGTTGCTGTTCCTACCTTGCCCAGATTGGCACATAAAACCAGAAGACAGGACTTTTGCACCCCAACCTTCGGTTTGGGAGCCGGCCACTGGCTCTGCCCAAGGTCTTAGGCTCACGCAGTGGACGGAGCCGGAAGCCCAGATTCTCAGAGAAGGGCTGTCCCTGCCTGGTTCTACCCCTGAAGCCCCGCCCATGCCCCGGCAGCGAATGAGCTGGCTCCCCTAGGGGGCGTGTCTTCTCGAGTCCCGCCCCGCCCCGCCTCGACAGCAAATGGGCGGGCTCGCGGCGAGGGTGTGGGCGTGTCCACGCGTGATAAGGCCCGGGACGCCGTGGGGAGCGCTGACCGGGTTCGGCCGACTGCGGAGGGCGCCGCCGCAGGAGGATCCCGGGTTCTCGGCCGAGGCTGCCCCGGAAATGCTTCCAGCCGGCACAAACATGGCTGCGGCCCTGCGAACTGCCGGCGCGCGGCTCCGCGGTCCGCGTAAGTGGCGGGGTCGCGGCGGCCACCGAGGCTGCGGTCCCCGTGTCCGCGGGCGTGAGTGGTGGGCAGCTGGCCGCGGGCAGCGCCCGGCCCCGGGGCTGCGGGAGGGGCGGCGAGGACCGGCCGCGGGGAAGGACCGGACCCCCGCCCGCTCCAGGGGCCGGAGGAGCCCGCGCGGCGGCCCCGGGCTCCGGAGCCCTCGGCCGCCGCGGGGCCGGGGACCGCGGTTACTGTGAGCACAGGACTGTGGGGAGGTGTGCGAAGGGGCGGCCGCCTGGAAGACCCCCCATGGGCCTCTGCCATCCCGCGGGACTACCCCATGGCAGCTGGGGCTGGGGCTGGCTGGAGATAGCTGTAGAACAAGTGAGACATGTGCTTCAGTCGGTTGTGTGTGAGTGATAGTAGCGGGACTTGAACTCAGGACCTCACTCCCTCGTCTGGCTGTCGTTCTGCCAGTGGAGCCACACCTCCACTTCCAGAGTCTCCCAGGCGTCTGGTACACACCATGAATGTAAGTTCTTTCCGTTGGATGAGCTGATGGAACATACCAGGTTGGGATCACATTAAGCAGGGACATATTGATCATGGCTCCCCACGTGGCTTGGTAAATGTGGGAGAAAGTAATAATTTATAGGCTCGCCATGAAGATTAGGAAGACAGGTGAGGCAGGCAGGTGTGCAGGGTACCTGCACACAGTAGGTACACAGACTCCCATAACGTTACAGTTTTGGATTGAAAGACTCTCGTAGAGAGATCCTGATATTATGCATCTGACTACATTTCAAAGGAGTTTCTTAATTCATCATTCATCATTCTGACCCCTATTAGCCAGAATCCACTCTCAACTTGTATTATGAGACGGACACCTTTATTAGAATAATAAGGACCAAAGGTATAGTGAGCATCAACTTTCTAAGGCAGACAAGAAGGCATTCTTTAAGAGGCCAGACTGAAGTATTACTTTAATAATAATAATAATAATTATTATTATTATTTTGGTTGGTTGTGGGACTTGGAACTCAAGACCTGAGTGCTGTCTCTGAACCTCTTTGTGCTCAAGGTTAGCACTCTACTACTTGAGCCACAGCACCACTTCTGGTTTGCTGGTGGTTAATTGGAGATAAGAGTCTCTCAGATTTTTCCTTTCTGGGCTGGCTTCGAACTACAATCCTCAGATCTCAGCCTTCTGAGTAGCTAGGATTACAGATCCGAGGCACCAAAACCTGTCATGGAATATTACTTTATACACACATGGGCTGGGAATGTGGCTTAGTGGTAGAGTGCTTGCCTCGCATGCATGAAGCCTTGGATTCAATTCCTCAGTACCACAGAAGTAGAAAAAGGTGGAAATTGTGCTGTGGCTCAAGTGGTAGAGTGCTAGACTTGAGCAAAAGAAGCTCAGGGATAGTGCCCAGGCCCAGAGTTCAGGCCCCAGGACTGGCCAAAAAAAAAAAAAAAAAAGAAGTTTCCATGCATTAACTGCCTTCATTTTAAGTGGCTACCATATGCTTCATTGGTCTTGATATTTAGTTTTTCCATCATTTTCCAGGTTATAACTTATCTGCAAACTAGTTTAACTTCATTCCCCACCCCTGCATCTCCAGGTACTGGAATTTGAACTCAGGGCCTTGTGCTCACTAGATAGGCACTGGCTAGTAAGGGACTGTAGCACTCTGAGCTATGCCTCCAGCCTTGTTGCTTTTTAGTTTTCAGCTAGAGTATAGTGTTTTCTACCTGGGCTAGCCTTGACCTTTGGTCCCCTCAAGCTCTACCTACTGAGTAGCTGAAATGATTCTTTATTTTTTAAAAATAGTTTTGATATATCTCATTTTTTTTTCTGATTGTTTGTTCATTGTTTCATTGAGAACTTAGGACAGTTGGGGGAGGAGGATGGGCAGGAAGGATAATGGTTATCCTTTTCTTATTTGTCATTAGTATCTCTTGGAACATACAGCATTGTTCTGACATGGAACCTAATATTTGTTGAAGAATTAGTGTGATCTAGAATTTTTGTTTTTGTTGTTGTTTGTTCTGGGTTTGAACTCATGGCCCCACTCTTTTGGTTGGCTTTTTTTGCTCTTACAACTTGTAAGAGTCTCATAGATTTTCCTGCCCAGGCTTAATTTTGAACCAAATTCCTCAGATCTCAGACTCTCAAGTAGCTAGGATTACAGGTATGAGCCACCAGCACCTACCTGATCTACAACTTTCTGATTAGTCTAATACCTTTAATCTTAACAACTTTGGAAGCAATCCATGATTATTTCTGTTTCACAGATTGACATCAGGAAAAGTATTTAACTATCAGAAAGTTTCAGGAAAGGTATTTAACTTGCACCAAGTCTCAGAGCTTAAGGAAAATGTCTTCCCAGTTGCAAAACCTTTTTCTAAGAAATGAGTCATTTTCTACTTCAAGTCCTAGAGAAAACTTGCTTTGGTATTACTGGTATGTTCCCATTCACTTTCAAATCAAGATGGAAGCAGTAAAGATCCCAGTGATGGTCAACTTAGTGGTTAGATTAGCTTAGTTTTGACAAAGCAGGTTTTCTGGCCTATAGTCTACTCAATTTCCAGACATTTCTGGACCTGGGGCAGGAGGGAATTTAATACTGGTCAGGCAGTGCCAGACTTGTCTTTGGTAGGCACCAAGCAAGTTCAAAAGCCAAGTTCTCCCACCTCACAATCTGCAGCCCCCTTCAGGCAAGTAGGTCCTTCAGTCCAGGGTGTGGTTGGTACTGGCCTGTTACTCACCAGTCCCAGGCCTTTGACCATAGACAAGGTGCTAACTGTGTTATGCTATCCTTCAGCCAGGGGTGCTGGTACCGATCTTGGGTACTGTGATGCTTGGGAAGATTTTCTAGTACCCCTCATTGTGGGGCTGGCTGGGAAATCAGGTGAGTTCTCCAACAGCTAAAACAAGAAGAAAGAAGAAGAAGGAGAAGAAAGAAGAAGAAGAAGGAAGAAGGAAGAGGGGGGGGGAGGAAAAAGAAACACTGCAATTAATGATTCAATGTGACATTTTCACACCTGCATATAATGTGCTTTGATCATAGTTACCCTATCTGTTACCCTCTTTCCTCCCTCCCTGCTTCTCCTTCTCTGCTTCCATGCTGTAAGGGAACATGCAGGAGTGAGATGTCCTTCTGGTTCGGGATGGTGGCCCTAAGTCCTCAGTGGAAAGGATCCCTTTTTAGTGCCACCACTATTTTCTCTCAGAATTTGGTCATCCAGGAAGAAGAGAAGTTTGTAAGGGCAAGATAATATTTAAGCAGCTTGCAAAGCTACAAGTTCCCCAACCATAGGAGGAAATCCTAACTACTGGGCCAGAGAACCACCCCAGCTTCCGCTCCACTGCTTATTGTAGGTTCTCAGGAAGAAAAGTTTATGAGGGGTAGGGTAGTTACAAAATACCAAAAGTCTACCCTCAAATCCCGTGGAACGGGATGCAAGCTCATTGTATAGGGAATTGGTGACATGATTTAAGAACATGATTAATCTCATCATGTAGTTCAGAATTAAGCTCACTTTAATGTAATAAGCGTGTTGGTTTGAGACTTCATTTGAGTGCAACCAAGCATCTTTATGTCAATATTTTATTTCCACTTTGGCTTAGTACTTAGTAATGCCTTAGTAAGCCAAGCTGGAAATGCAAAGCTCAGCACAAGCTCTTGTAATTGACTCTTTGTGGAATGTGAACAGTCTGAATAGAAGGAAATCCAAGTGGCCCGGAGAAACTATCTTCCTGGGTGGTTTGGAAGAAATCAGGACAGGTGCTCATGGCTCACACCTGTAATCCTAGTTACTCAGGAGGCTAGAAGTGGAGCTGTGGCCCTGGGTTCAAGCCCCAATAACAGTACACACACAAAAAAAGGGAGCAAAAGAAAGAAAAAAAAAATCACAAGGGCTTGAGATGTGGTAGAAATGGTAGAGCCCTTGCCTATCAAGCAGAAGCATTGAGTTCAAATTCCAGTACTGCCAAAACTTAAGAAATCCGAGCAACAATGGTTGCTGTTCTCTAGAATGAAACTTACAAATGTAACTAAAGCTGGTATTTACAATGTGGGAGAAACCACAGCTCACCTCACTACTCTTCACAAGAATTCCAGCAGCAAGGTCATGTTTGGTAGTTGGCAGAATTTAAGCTCAGAAAGATGACAATCTGGTCACACTGGTGATAATTAAGTCCCACCGCCAGTAAGTACCAGAGCTGAATTCAGAGTCAGCCCTAGTTGGTCCACAGCCTAATTCATCATAGGGAAAGTTTTGCTTTGGAGTAGGACTTGGGTAGGAGCCTGATTTCAAGTTGGTCTCTCAGTGATGGTTTCAAGTGGGGCAGGAGATGATGTTCACAGCACGGGCACCTGGCAACTGCCCCATGTTGCCCTCCTCAATACCTACTCGAGTTCTATTTCACTGCATGCTACAATTAAGTATGGCATTTGGACTCTGAGGTAGCTACTCCAGGCTCCCTCCTAAGTTGTGGGGTCCCGAGTCAGGTGTATCCACAGGGCAGGCTAAGGAATTGGAATATTTTTTTTATCTTTTGACGTGGACAAATAGACCTTCCTAGTGATCCTCCCTGAAGAGTGAGTTGTTGAACGTACCCACACTACAGAAATGCAGAAGCCTTGGCAAAGTCGACCTTTAGGCTTTCTTGCTTCTCTTTGCACCAGCAGCTCTTTCCTGCCACCTATAGGTCAAGATTTGCTTACACTGGTGGGTCCCATCTGTCCCCAGCGGCATGGACAGAGGAAGGAAACATATACTGACCCGTATAAGGAGTGTGTGTGGGAGTGTGGGGGAGAGGGGTCAGGTGATTCTTGGGGCCTGGGATCCTGGTCTATTGTGGGATGTGGGTTCTGGGGGAGGCAGGTTTCCTTGGTTGTGTAGATAGTATATGCCATGTGGGGAGCGGGTGTATAAGAGGAGTGCTGGACAGAGCCTATATAACAGAGGCTCCCTTTGTCAGGGTCCAAGGCAGGACTGGGGCTTCCAGTACTAGTGCTTTGCTAGAGACTTCTTGGAAGCAGAAATGAGATCTGCAGATCACAGGAACTGGCCCAACATCCACTCCCTAAACCAGCAGCTCCTTACCTCTTCCCCCCTAGCATGATTCTGCTATCAGTAGCATTGCAAATGTGCCACAGTTCTTGCAAGGAATCGTAGCAAAATCTGCAGGCAAGATGGGAGGAGGTGTGTGTGGCTTCTAGAATGCCTCCCCGCAGGTCCTTCTATGGCTCTTCTGGGGCACAAGCCTCTGCCTCAGGCCCCCAAAGAGACCGGTACCCACCTGCAGAGAAATGCTACAGATCTTACCTCTGCCATCACAGCTTTAAATTTTAAAGCTAGGAATTGTGCCCTGAGGACCTCTTCAAAAGAAATTACTTTCTAGCTAGATTTCATGCTAGCACTTTCATTTTGTCACAGTGGTACATGGCGGCTCAGGGGTCCAGCAGCCATGGGAGTGCCAATTGGGAACCGCAGCAGCAGCCACCACAGAGACAGCCCATCGGGCCAAAAGTACAACGCCTCAAGTTCAACCGGAAAAGAGGTATGCATCTAATTTCAGTATCAAGAAGGATTTCTTGCTCTTTATGACCACAGACATCAGTGGACACATGCTACCTAGGAGGGAAGGATCTGGGAGAGCCTGGCAAATTAGGAGTTGGAAAATTAGGAATTGGCTTGCATTGAATGGTTGTTGAACTGCAAGTTTTAAACACAACAGGCTTTTCTTTAAGGAAGTTAGTTGAATACAGTCTGCAAATCATGGGAGAATTTGATTCTGTAAGATGATACATATTCCAAATTTTGTGTTTGTTGCTTTTTGTTGTGATCGTGAGTTCATTGATTGACTGCCAAATAGACTGAAGTTGTTTAGGAGTAGGGCCTAAATCATCTCCTCTCAACTTCGTTCTTCTAGAAGATGGAGTTGGTGACAAAGGTATGAGGCAGATATCACAGGCTGGCAGCGTGCCCAGCAGGGCAGCAATTCTCCTGCCCACTGGCCTTTCTTCCCACCTTAGCACTTGGAGGCTAGAATGGTAGTAATGTAAACTGAAGAACTGATTTGATGTGGAACTGTGGAGGAAAAATAATTGAATTGCTATATTTTCCTTGTGGCAAAAGTCAATACTATAAATAGCCTTGATGTTAAAATCTTAAAATTAAGCTGGGCACCGGTGGCTCATGCCTGTAATCCTACCTACTCAGGAGGATGAGAGCTAAGGATCACGGTTCAAAGCCAGCCCAGGCTTTAATCTCCAATTAACTACCAGAAAACTGGAAGTGGCGCTGTGGCTCAAGTGGTATAGCTCTATCCTTGACCTGAAGAGCTGAGGGACAGCACCCAGGCCCCAGAGTTCAAGCCCCAGGACTTGAAAAAAAAATTAAAATTAAGTAAAAATCTAAAATCAAGCTGGGCCTGGTAGTACATATATACCTGGCATCCCAGCTACTCAGGAGATTGAAGTAGGAGGATTATGAGTTTAAGACCACCACATACAAATTTAGCAGGATTGTTTCAAAAAATTGGAAAAATAAAAGGATTGGGCTGGGGTTGTAGCTTAGTGATAGCCTAGTATGTATGGCCCCAGGCTAAATCCCCAGTGTTGCCAAAAAACCACACAAAAATCTAAATATATGCTGTAGATTCTATTAAGCAACTATATCATATTTATTCAAAATTAATAGAAACACACACATAGGAAACAAAGATTAAAAGATGATGATCCTAATACCTAGTATCTTGACTCTATTAATATTAACTGAGTATATTCGTACTAAAATATGACTATACTGTACCAGTTTTTTATGCTATTTACTACGTTATAAAACTATAGATTTTATTTATTTATTTAGTCTGTCATGGGTCTTGAACTTTGGGCCTGGGCGCTGTCTCTGAGCTCTTCAGCTCAAGGCTAGTTGTGTACCACTTGAACAACAATGCTACTTCCAGTTTTCTCGTGGTTAATTGGAGATTAAAGCTCTGGCTGGCTTTGAACCGTGATCCTCACATCTCAACCTCCTGAGTAGCTAGGGTTACAGGCATGAGCCATTGGTGCCCAGATTAGATTTTCTTTTATACTCCTTAATAGCTTAGGAGTACTTTAATAAATAAATAAATTAATTAATAATTAATTTGTCCAAACATTACAGGCATAGGTTCTTTCTAGTGTTTCTGTAGTAGAGATGTTGATGCAGTGAGGATTCTCATTATCATGCCAGTGCAGACCTCTTTTGAGGCAGCATGTTGTTTAGGCTTATACTGAGCTGGACTAGAAGCTAGACTAGGCATTGTACTAGATTAGGGTCTACAGACTTATTCTGTGGTTCCGTGAAATGTTAAGTAACACAGTTTTAGGTTTTGTGGGCCATACTTTATTTTTTTACTGCTCATGAACACATGAGTAGACCTGTGTCCCAATAAAACTTTATTTACAAAGCCAGGCAATGTATAAGTATATGGGCAAATGTGGTACAGTGGCTGTAGTTTGCCAAACATTGTTCTATAGGAAGCATAGATACCTAGATTTAATAAATACCTAGGTTTAATAAAGAGCTAGGATTTTTGTTTCTTTTTCTTGATGCTGATATTCAGTAGAATAATATTATTGTTTCTTTTCATTGTGAACTTAAGTTTCTATTATTAGAATGTTGGCTTAATAGTTCAAAGGAAAAACTGCCTTTTTTGAGAGTCCCAGAAAATACAAATGGCAAAACATTTCAACTTTTTCAAGTGAACTATAAAATATGTTTCCATTCAGACAAAGGGAACATGGCAAGTCTGACGTTGGTCTCAGGTGTGCTCTGTCTGGGAGGGAGACGAGGCAGAGGCCCTTGACTAAAGCTTCACACTTCACATTCTGGAATGGAACCGAGTGGACCTCGGGCTCACTAATGCGCCACTCCTCATGCACCGCACAGTTTTGAATTAAGTGCATGTGTATTTGGGCATTTTCAAATCATGCGCATCTCTTTCATGTATCCCATCACCGTGGGTTTGCAAAACCGTGAGCTGGGCAGAGTAACATTGCTTAAAGGCACTCTTGTCTGAGCTCAGGTGTTATAGATGAAAAACACAGCTCTAAATCCCGTTTGCACATCGATACCCTCTAGGCTTAGGTAAGTCTTTTTAGCCTGGGGTTTCTTAACCAGTAATCTGTTAACTGGCAGCAGTCCATGGGAAAATGCACTTGATTTATTGTAAGTCACAGATCTTGAGGGTAAAAGACAGGATACCAGGAGAAGAGGGGTGGTCTAGGTAGAAAGATGAAGGGAAGATTATAGTTTCACCAAGTGATGGATTTGAATTTCTAGATAACAAGAAAACTCAACACCACTGTTGGTCTAGTGATAGATAGCACACCTTTATAAAAGAGTTCTGTAACAGTTGACATCTTCAGCCACTTAGTTTAATAAGGCAGTGATTCTCAATGGGGTTGAGACAAATTTGACAATGTCAAACTTGTCACAACTTGGTTGAGTGTGTGAGCAGAGGCCAGGGACATTACAGAGCATCTTGTACAGCACAGTATAGCCCTTTGTAAGGGAGGGAGCTAGATGAACCTTGGAGATTTTATGTTAACCTAAAGGAATCAGACATAAATTGGCTGATTCCATTTTTCTTCAATGTCCTGAGTAGGTGAATGCATAGACTCAGGAAGTAGATTCATTGCCAGGAGAGAAAGGAGGAGATAAAAGCATATAGCATTAGGTAGTGATGAGAATTGTTCAGCTTGAAAATGGTGAATTATGGGCTGGGAAGGTGGGTCAGTGATAGAGTGCTTGCCTTGCATGCCTGAGGCCCTGGGTTCGATTCCTCAGCACCACATAAGCAAAAAGAAAAAAGCCGGAAGTGGCGCTGTGGCTCAAGTGGTAGAGTACTAGCCTTGAGCTGAAGAGCTGAGGGACAGCGCCCAGGCCCTGAGTTCAGGCCCCACGACCAGACTCAAAAAAAAAAAAAAAAGAAAATGGTGCATTATATCTCTATTTTTACATAAAGAAAAGAAGGATGAATGAAAGAAACATTCTCTCTCCTTGGTTTCTGTCATTGTCAGTTCTCTGTCATGGGGACACTTTTTGACACATCTCAGACTCAGGTCTTCTGTTCTGCATCTTTGGACATGATCTCCTGGTGGCTTCCAGAGGTTTTGGAGGACATTGAACCTGCCTGGGCTTCCCCTTCCCTGATGCAGGTCAGGAGCAGGCTTGCCTGCTTTCCTGGCTTGCCTGGCCTTGGGTTGTGTAGATCTGTAGGGCCATGCAGAATTTGGAAGTCTACATTAGTACATTGTGCTTTCTTTTCTCATTTCCTAAAGCTACTTATTAAAACCCTTGTTAAGGAGTTTTACTTTGCTTTGCTTCTCCCTACTTTCCTTTTTTTTTTCTTTTTTTCCTTTTTTGCTTTCTTCCTACTCTCCTTCTGCTTCTTCCTACACATGTTGTGCTTGATTCTTTAGTCTGGGGCTAATATGAATGTTTTTTTTTTGTTGTTGTTGTTGTTGCTTTGTTTTTGTCGGGCATGGGGCTTGAACTCTGGGCCTAGGCGCTGTCCCTCAGCTCTTCAGCTCAAAGCTAAAGCTCTACCACTTGAGCCACAGCTCCATTTCTGGCTTTTTTCTGCTTATTTGGTGCTGAGGAATCAAACTCAAGGCCTCATGCATGCAAGGCAAGTACTCTACCACTGAGCCACCTTCCCAGCCCCACTGTGATGTTAGTGCCATTTCTAGTAGGGAATTATCTATGTATTGCATTTCCAAGAGGGATGGAGAGGTGGGCGTGGAGTGAGAAATGTAGTTTATCATAGCAGGAAACACGCAAGCAAAAATAAAAGCAGGTGGTGGAGAAGGTAGCAGAGTACTAAGAAGTAATAGTCACAGTTGACTAAAGGGAAGGGAGCAGATGAAAGAGTGGAAGATGGGCTCCTACTGTACTTCAGATTTAAATGACAGGGGAACCCTTCTTTGTGTGACAGAACTTTCTGTGTGCCAGTTTGTGTTAAGTGAGTAAGTACTTTAGCCACTGAAATTCTAAACATTGGTTTTGTTGGTTTTTTTCCATGCTGATATTGGAGCTTGAACACAGGACCTCACATTCCTGCTTAGCTTTTTCACTCAAGGTTGGCTGGCATTCTGACACTTGAGCCACCCACTTCTACTTCCAGCTTTTTTGCTGGTTAATTGGGCATAAAATTGAATTTATCTTTGCAGGCTGTCTTCAAACTGTGATCCTCAGAACTCGGCCTGTTAATAGCTAGGCATGAGCTACTGAGTATCTGGCTCCTTAAACAATTTTTGGGGTAGCTGCTGGATTTTATTTATCATATGAGGAAATCTGAAATTTGGAGAGGTCAAGAACTTGTATATTCATTAAGCCCTAACAAGTCCAGATCCCACAGCCACAGAACAATATTAGATTTCTACTTCAATTCTCTGCCTGTAAAGAATCCAATCTGTTCACACTGACAGGCTGGTAGGGAAACGCTTTGAGCCCCCAGAGGTTCAGTGTCATGCATAGAACTAAGAGATGAAGATCAGAGTCCAGGCTGGAGAGATCCCACCTTCCCCATAGGTGGCCCTGTGAGCCTAGCCGAAAAGCCTATAAGTTCTTACCTTTGCATCCACAGTAGATGCCAGTCTGATGCAAGCTTCTTCCCTAGAGGATAAGAAGAAATGTGACACATCCATTGCTGCATTTTATTTTATCCAGGAAGCCTAAAACTGGAATATTAATGCTGAACATGGGTGGCCCTGAAACGCTTGGAGAAGTTCACGATTTCCTTCTGAGGCTCTTCTTGGACAGAGACCTCATGACACTTCCTGTCCAAAAGTAAGTAAGAGATGTGTAAACATCTGCACTTTAACATACATATATGTTATTTTACATGTAATATGTATCACATATATATATGTGTATACACACACACACACACACACACACACACACACACACACACACACACACACACACACAAACACACAATGTATTTGGCCTTTGCTGTAACAGCTCCAGTTGGAAGAATGAAGTGGTTTGAACGTGTATCTAGTAGTGGTTACATGAGCATGTTATCCTGTTGGAGATGAGGATGTGATGTGGGAAGAACTGCAGGGTGTGGGAAGCCAGTTAGGAAGCATTCTCCTGGAGCCTTTTCCTCCCCAGAGCCCTGGAAATACAGTTGTCCTGACACTGCTGACGTACCTTTAAAGATTTTTTCTTTTTGGTCTGGTCGTGGGGCCTGAACTCTGGGCTGGACACTGTCCCTCAGCTCTTCAGCTCAAGGCTAGCGCTCTACCACTTGAGCCACAGTGTGACTTCCGGCTTTTTTCTTTTTGCTTATGTGGTGCTGAGGAATCGATCCCAGGGCGTCATGCATGCAAGGCAAGCGCTCTACCACTGAGCCACCTTCCCAGCTCCAGCTTTAAAGATTTTTAAAGATATGTTTGTACTTGGCACTTAATGGCTGATTAACTCTCAGGAAAGCAATGATGATTATTCTTTTGTACTTAATGATAACCTGTTCCTATTCTCCTTTTCCTTCCTTCCCTACTTCCTCCTCTTCTTTCTTTCTTTCAAAAAGGTACTTATATATGACTAAAATGCAAAGAGTATAAAAATATTTATGGTGGAAGGCCAATGTCCCTTTTGCCTAGAATTCCTGCCTCGCTATCATCCCTCACGTGTAAGCACTTACATCCAGAACTAGCCATAAAGATAACTCAGCACATACTCTCTCACATACATCCCTACCTCTTTCCACGTAGCCACACAAATGTGAATATATACTTAGGTTACATTATTTGGCACTATGTTATTTACTTATTTATTTTTTTGGCGGTCGTGGGGCTTGAACACTGGGCTTGGGCATTGTCCCTCAGCTCTTCAGCTCAAGGCAAGTGCTCTACCCCTTGAGCCACAGCACCACTTCTAGTTTTCTAGTGGTTTATTGGAGATAAGAGTCTCACGGATGTTCCTGCCTGGGCTGGCTTTGAACCATGATCCTCAGATCTCAGCCTCCTGAGTAGCTAGGATTACAGGCGTGAGCCACTGGCGCCCACTTGGCACTTTGTTATTTTTTAACCTTTTTTCATATAGGATTATGACTGTTTAGAATGGTTTTGTATAGCTATACCTTTATTTAATTTGTGGTTTCTGATAGCTGTTTACAGTATTGCAGTGTACATGTTGCAGTATACACCATTGCCAGTGTATACATCTGTAATTGGCATTTTTATGTATGTGTGTGCACGCCAGTATAGAGCCTCGCGCTCTGGCTTAGATTTTGCACCTCAGGCTGGTGCCCTACCACCTGAGCCCACCTTCACTACTGGCTTTTTGATGGTTAATTAGAGATAAGAATCTCAGGGTCTTTGCTCAGGCTGATTTTGAACCACAATCCTCATATCTCAGCCTCCTGAATAACTAGGATTGATCTTGTTAGGTTCTTTGTAAAATCTGCTTATCTCTTGCTTATTGAGTAGAACATGTGGATGAGGTTGCTATAGTTGGATAAAATTCACTCACCTACATGTTAAATGATTTAGCAAGCTGGCACCATTCATTGCCAAACGCCGAACACCTAAAATTCAAGAACAATACCGCAGGATTGGAGGTGGATCTCCCATCAAGATGTGGACTTCCAAGCAAGGAGAAGGCATGGTGAAGCTGCTGGATGAGCTCTCCCCAGACACAGGCAAGGGTGTCTGCATTCACACAGGGCTGGGTTTTCTTTCAAAACAGGGTCAGATGCCAAATGCTGTTACGGGTTCCACAACTCTTTTTTTTTTGGTTGGTCATGGGGCTTCAATGCTGGGCCTGGGCGCTGTCCCTCAGCTCTTCAGCTCTTCAGCTCAAGGCTAGCGCTCTACCACTTGAGCCACAGTGCCACTTACAATTTTCTGAGTGGTTTATTGGAGATAAGAATCTTACAACCTTTCCTGCCCAGGCTGGTTTTAAACTGTGATCCTCAGATCTCAGCCTCCTGAGTAGCTAGGATTATAAGTCCTGAGCCACCAGGGCCTGGCAGGTTCCATAACTGTATCATGCAAGGTCATTTAACTGAGTGACTTTGGCCTTTGACTATAGAATCTTTTCTATTACTTTCTATGGCACAAATAAAGGAAAAATTTGGAACACTAGTTTCAAAAGGAAATTGAAATCGTTTATAAGGCAGAAATGAAATACCATGAATGCAAGATGCATTTGTCATTGGGCTGGAAAGAAATCTTTAAGACATGGACTGAGGCTATTCTTAGGGTTTTTCTTTTTATAGGAATTAGATCAACACATAGAACAGAAATAGTCACTCAAGAGGCTGAGATCTGAGGATTGAGCTTCAAAACCATTCTGAGCGGAAAAGTCTGTGAGACTCTTATTTCCAATAACCACCAATAAGTCAGGTAAAGCTGTAGCTCTAGTGGTAGAGCATAAGTCTTGAACATAAAAGCTAAGAGACAGTGCCCAGGGCCTGAGTTCAAGCCCCACTACTAGCATAAGGAAAAAAAAAACATACATAGGGAATATTTTCCATGTACCTTGTACCATGGTGATGCTTATCTTATTTAATTTTCAAGGGTGCTAGCGATAGATTCTGTTATCTTCCCTTTTGGAGTTGGGCTAAGTCAGCTTCCTAAAGACATGCCACCAGGAATGTCACACCACTTCTGGCTTTTTGTTGGTCAACTGGAGATAAGAGTCTCACTGCCTTTCCTGCCAGCTTTCCTAGCTAGGATTACAGGCATGAGCCACTACTGGCTGCCATGTGAGCTTTTATTGCTCTTTGTTGGTGCAGAGTACATTATCTGTTGCAAATGAAAAAGCATCATATCAAATCTTTCCCCTGGAGAATCATGTCAACTCACCGGATCCATGCTAAATTAATGGTTTTCTCTAAAGTGTGTATTGGCAGCTGATCTGAGGGCAGACCAGGAGAGATCTGTGAATCGAGTGTTTGGCCATCCATGGGGCCAGACTTTGTGCCCACTGGCTGTGGAGCTGGTTAATATTAGCAAGGCTCCCTTCCCCTCTATGTCCTGCCAGGGACAGCATGGCAGGCAGAGTTCCCATGAGCACTGCTGCTTCCTCAGGGTAGGTGTCATGTCAGAAAGCACATTTCCCCCTTTTCTAAAATAAATGTTTGCAAGCCTTTTAAACTGCATTATCTGTGCTTTCCAGAGTAGCTGACTGTCTCACATTTTAATAGGAGGTCCCCACCCTGCCTTTATCTGCAAGGGCAGCCTCTCTACCCTCAGTCTGCACTATCTGAGGGTGCCCAGGCCCAAGCACTTAAGACTGCAGCTGTCCAGTACTGGATGACTGAAAAGATCTGGTGAGAAACTGGTTGACCCTCATAATGCAGAGATCTCACGGAATCATCGCGCTGTTTTCAAGTAGATTAGAGAGCAATGTCTGTCAGCTTGTTAAGCCTCACCTGGACTGCCAAGAGGTGTTTGGCAGCGGCTGTGACTGTGGTGGTGTGACAGTTGACAGTTTAGCTGTGAATTGCGCAACCATTGAACAGTCAGGGGTTTATCAGGTCACTGTTTCTGGTGTGTTTTAACTACAGCTCATCTCTTTTATACAAGAGAGCATACAATGAGGAGCCCATGAGGGACAGACAGCTGCAGATGATTCTGTTTGTTCCCCTTCCCTCTTTTCCTTAAGTCTCCAAACAAGAATACCGACTCCAACCACACTGCTCATGCACTCACCTGCTTTTCTTGCCTACTGACCTCTTGTTTCTGCCCTTGGTAACAGGTTACATTGTTTCTTGGTTCCCTGGGTTAAGTTTTGAGGAATATTTTTTTTATGTGTAGATCCATGCCTGCATAGGAGAAATTCCTTATCATTTGCTTCACTTTAATCTAAACATAGCTGCTAGTACAGTCTTCACACAGCCCCTGAGAAGGCTTTGGGTGGTAACTAACATTGTGGTATATTGTTGTGTTGTTTGCATGAGTGTGTGCACTCATGTATGCTGGCCTTGGAACTTGAACTCAAAGCCTGTGAGCTGTCCTTGAGTGTTTTTTTGCTCAAGGCTAGTGCCCTACTATCTGAGACACAACTCTACTTCTAGCTTTTTGTTTGCTAATTGGAGCCTCATAGACTTTACGGCTAGGGCTGGCTTCAAACCTTTATCCTCAGATCCTCAGATACCTTTATCCTCAGATCCTCAGATATCGGCCTCCTGAGTAGGTAGGATTATAGGTGTGAGCCACTGGTCCCTGGCTTTTATGTTCAAGTTTGGTGCTGTACCAATTGAACCATAGTTCCACTTCTGGCTTTTTGGTGGTTAATTGGAGATAAGAGTCTCAAGTCTGCTAGGCACTGGTGGCTCACGCCTGTAATCCTACCTAGTTACTCTGGAGGCTAAGAACTGAGGATCGTGGTTTGCCGGGAAGGTCCATGAGACTCTTATGTCCAGCAAACTACTCAGAAAAAGCCAGAAATGGCACTGTGCTCAAGTGATAAAGCCCTAGCATTGAGCAAAAGAAACTTAGGGACAGAGCCCAGACCTAGAGTTTAAGCCCCAAGGACCAGCCCAAAAAAAAAAAGTCTCAAGTATTTCCTGTTTAGATTGGCTTTGAACGGATTCTCAGCCTCCTGCGTAGCTGTGATTACAGTGTGAGCCAGCATCGCTCAGCTCTTAAGCCTCCCTTACCCCAGCAACAAAACAAAACACAAAAGAAAGGAAAACAATTAAAAATAGCAACTTGAAGCTGAGTGTCAGTGGCTCATACCATCTCAGGAAACAGAAATCTGAGAATCATAGTTCAAAGCTGGCTTGGCAGCTTTTAATTCTAATTTTTTTTTTTTTTGGTCCGGTTGTGGGGCCTGAACTCTGGGCCTGGGCGCTGTCCTTCAGCTCTTCAGCTCAAGGCTAGCACTCTACCACTTGAGCTACAGCGCCACTTCCAGCTTTTTTTTTTTTTTTTTTTGCTTATGTGGTGCTGAGGAATTGAACCCAGGGCCTCAGGCATGCAAGGCAAGCACTCTACCACTGAGCCACCTTCCCAGCCCCCTTAATTCTAATTTTTTAATTCTAGTTAACCACCAACAAGCTGGAAGTAGAATTGTGGCTCAAATGGCAGAACACTAGCCTTGAGCTCAAAAGCTCAGGAACAGCGCCCAGGCCCTGAGTTCAAGCCCCTGGACTAGCTCTCTCTCTGTGTCTCTCTGTCTCTCGGTCTTACTCTCTGTCTCTCTCTGTCTCTCTCTCTCACTCTCACACACACTCTCTCTCTTTCTCTCACTCTCTCTCTCTCTCTCTCTCACACACACACACACAGCAGCAGCAGCAGCAGCAGCAGCAGCAGCAGTAGCAGTAGCAGCAGCTTTAATTTTAAGAGCCATTGTGTTAAGTAAAGGCATGTGGGTGTGGGTGTTGTTTGCAGAAAATAGTGACTAAAAGTACACGTACCAACTAATGAGCGGTTAAGATCCAAAGAGTGTTCTGAACTTGCCCACATTTTCAGCATTGTAGGAAATTAGGTTAACTGTTCTTTGTTCTGGGCACTCCATTATGCTTGGTGACTGGAGGAATCTATATAAAGATTAATACTTTCTCCTTTCCACTTGTGCCTCCTAATAGCTCCTCACAAATACTATATTGGATTCCGGTACGTCCATCCTTTAACAGAAGAAGCAATTGAAGAGATGGAGAGAGATGGGCTAGAACGGGCCATTGCTTTCACGCAGTATCCACAGTTCAGCTGCTCTACCACGGGTAAGGGCGTCTGACAGTGGGAAGGTGGATATGGCCCTGGCAAAGTAAACTGGGCAGTCTGATGGCCAAAGAAAAGATAAATCATTTGTGATTTGAATGGCAAATCCAGCCTGTCTCCTTTAAACTGGCGGGCTCAGGTCAGTCTATGTGAAATCTCATGGTTCATCTGTTTCTTGAATTATTGGCCAGTCAGCTGAGAATTATAAATGGTGGGTGGAAGGCAGGGCCACGCATGCTCAGTGCGGTAACGCAGTAGGGTAATAGGTCAGTAATGAATCTCTAGCTGCCATCTAGGTTTGTCCTACAACTTCATTTTCACGTCTATTCTGATTTTTGTATTAATGAAGTAAAGGTGATAGCTGTTTTAATTTTGGAAGGCTTTTAAGCCCATATAATGTGGGAATTATCAGTGTTAGCATGTGCCATGTTGCTTCATTTCCTTCTGGGGTGTTTGCTGGTTAGGCTAAAGTCTAGAGTTCTCTTTGCAAGCTTCTCTCAGTGTTCTCAGTCTCTTTTGGAAAGTATCACTCCTTACTGGCCCCCTGTATTTAACTGAGGCTGGAGAATAATCTTGATAAGCCTCCTCCATCACGCACAAATACATTTGTTCGCATTGTTTCAGGATTGAGGTCAGCGTATTTCCCCTCCCAAACTTTAGATATTAATGTTATTCTCTGTAACTATAAGAGAAACAAGAGGCAACTAGAAGAAGCATTCAGAGCCTGTGGACCTTAAATATAGATGTGAAGTACCTGTTAAAATGCCCAATCTCCCCCTCCCATTGCCAAAGTTTGAATTGTGTTTTGTTCTAGAAATCTACCACCATGTCAAAATATCTGGCAATAGACTTTTAGCAAATAAGTCTGATCTTTGTGTGTGTGTGTGTGTGTGTGTCTGATCTTTGTGTGTGTGTGTGTGTGTCTGATCTTTGTGTGTGTGTGTGTGTGTGTGTGTGTGTGTGTGTGTGTGTGTGTCAGTACTAGGGCTTGAACTGAGGACCTGGGTGCTGTCCCTTAGCTTTTTTTGCTCAAGGCTGGGGCTCAAGTGGAGCCACAGTTCTACTTCTGGCTTTTTGGTGGTTAATTGGAAACAAGAGTCTCACAGATTTTTCTGCCTGAGTTGGTCTTGAACCTTGATCCTCAGATCTCAGCCTCTCGAGGAGCTAGAATTCCATGGTATGTGCTACCAGTCCAACACTTAAGATCTTTGAATTTTTAAGGTGTTTTTTCTAAATCTTGCTTTACAAAATACATCTCAACATGTAAATGTGTGTTTTTCAAAGTAATTAAGTTCCGAAGATGGTTATTTTCAAGGCACAGGACTGATTGTTGTGTTCATTTCACAGCTGGGTCTTAGTGATTGTTCTGAACTGCAGGGCATGCTCAGATTTTCCCTGGTGCTTCCTGGGTGGGTGTCAGGACAGAATGTCTGCTCTGAGCTGTGGCTGTGTTTGGGAAGCACATTTATTCTGTGGGGCCACTAGCTTGTTTGTTTTAGATCGTGCCTTAGATGGAACTGTGGTGCAGAGCCAGTGCATTCTGCATATCTCTGAGAAGCAGCTTTCTCATGTTTTCCCCTTCTTAATTACCTCTTACCAAATGTTTTCATGACCTGAGAGCTAATGTAGCTTCCCAGTGCCCTTTTGTACATCTGAAACCCATCTTTGTCTGTAAACTATGATGAATTGTGGTGTGAATATGCTGGTGTCTACTTTGATTTCTACAGAGATTCTTTTTGACCCTTGAATGGACTTGGTTTGGTTCTCAAAATTCACTGTATTCTATTCATCAAAATTAAACTCATTCATCTTGTAAAAGATGAGTTCTAGTCCAAGCATACATTTGAGGTAAAATGTGGTTCAGCCTTGACGAGGCTCTTAAATTGGGAACTTTACTAGTGGTTTTATAGTAGAGAACCTAGTGGTGGGAGGCATGCAGATCTGTTGGAAATGTCCCCGTGCGAAGGCGAAGAGGTTTCCTAGGGTTAGGGCTTGCCCCAGTTTCTGCTTCCCTAGACCAGGAAAATAATTGCTTTAGGTTAACATCATCAGCCATCGTGTAGGCTTGAAATGTTCATAACTTCCATCTCTCACTTAGAAATAAATCTCACTTGTGTTAGATTGCCTGTTAGAAATTAGTTAGAATTTAGGGAGTGATGAAAATTTTGTAGAAACAGGTAAAAAAGAATGTTGGTAGAATCCTTGTGATAATGCCATTGAATAGCTTTCATTGTAATGTAGAAAATATTTATCCTGTCATATTAAGTAAAAATATCCAGAATACTCTGGATCTGGATACAGATGTACACACACACACACACACACACACACACACACACACACACACACACACACACACACACACACACACACACACACACACACACACACACACACACACACACATTATAACATTGTTCTGTAAAACAAAACAGATGTAAAGAAAAATACCTGAAAAGAGTTATGCCAGAATGAACCAATGCGGATATTACCATGGAGATAATGGCCTATTTCCTTCTCCTCTTTCTTCCTCACCCCTACATTTTTTGGTAATAGGGCTGATTCCCTTCATAGTGGGAAAATCTTTGTTCACATGCTTTCAAAAGACTTGATCCCTGCAAGTAATAACTGCTTATATTTCATAAATCCATGGCCATCATGTTTCTCACTAGAAATGGCCTCTTTGAAAGTCTGTTGAGATTGATTGCTTTTTAGTGATCTTCATTTGCAGGCTAGTTAAATCTATATGCATTTTGGAGTATTGGAAAGGTTGTAATTAGACTGAGATTCTGTATAGAATCAGATGCCTGCTCTGAAATTACTGTGACGGCTTTTACTAGTCTTTTTTTTTTTTATTTTCACCATAATCAAAGCGTATCAATTAAGAGGCCCCCCTGTATGTTCCAGGCAGCAGTTTAAATGCCATCTACAGATATTACAGTGACGTGGGAAGGAGGCCTGCCATGAAGTGGAGCACTATTGACAGGTGGCCCACACACCCCCTCCTCATCCAGGTAAGTGCTGCTGTGACTCAGGTTCTTCTGTCTATGGATTTTTTTGGAAAAATTAGATTCTTGAATTATGAAAAAAGAAAATAGAACATGTAATGTTTTACAGCTAATTTACATCCAGAGATTGACACATAACTTTAAATAACTATTTTCTAAATCCTTTAATATGTCAAAAGATTGCAAAAAAAAAAAAAGAAAAATAGCAGTAACTTTGAGCTGAAGAGCTCAGGACAGCGCCCAGGCCCAGAGTTCAAGCCCCAAGACTGACAAAAAAAGAGAAAAAAAAAAAGAAAATAGATATATGTTACTGGGATATGAAAATAACATTTCATGGGGAAAGTTTCAAATTTCTCCTGAATAATGTATTTTTATTATATTTATATTAAGTGGTGCTGTGTTGTAGGAATATCCATCACAACTACAATTCCAAAACCAGTAGCTTTGAATGGGTGTACTTTGAGAACGCTGCTGGTGAAATATGCATGTAGGTTTTTTTGTTTTATAGAAGTTTCTGATTTAGGGTTATTTTAGATAGGAGAAATATGTACCAATTTACATTTTATTTTCCAGTGTATATTTTTTATTATTGGAACAGACCTGTCTTTTCTTTGAAAAGCTTGGTGACCACTAGATGGTGCTGTGAGTCACTAAAATCGACTGGCCCTCTCCAGAACAGCCCACCTCCTGGGGGCAGGTAAAGGGTTACTGCATGAACTACACTTTTAAGTAAAAAGTGAAAGGCAAGACCACTCTTCGGAATAGGTGTCATTGTTGGTTCTGCTTCTCCAGTTGCCGTGCTCTGGGTACAGCACTGGCTGCCCAGAGCACCCTTGCCTGCCTGCCCCTGTGGGCCCTGTGTGGGGAGAGGAGTGATTATGTCAGCACTGACATGTGGTGCAGGAACCCAGGGAATCTGCGCAGCATCTGCCTGCCCCGATGGAGGGAGTCATTAGATTTGCATTGAAATTCAGCCCTTTGAAAAGGGGGAAGCAGAAAGATGGAAAGGTCTCTTAACTGAGGAAGTCTGTGTTCATCAAATGAAAGGGAATTTTAGAGGCATTTATCTGCCCTCCTGGCTGGCGTGATTGAAGGCTCTGAGAGGCACCGCGCCTCTTTCATTTTGCACAGGGCCCACGTGCGCACGCATGCAGAAAATCCCACAGATGGGTTTTAGATGATTTAAGTAGCATTTGCCCAGGGCACCTCCATGCAGAAGAGGGCTTAGAGATTGTGGCAGGCCAGTAAGGAGCAGTGTTCTTAACCTACAGCTTTTTGAGCTGACAAAACACCCCCACTAAACTGTAGAGAAGAGAGGAAATGTTTTTGAAATGGAAAATCAAAACTAAAACCCTCCCTTGGAAACTCAGCTAAAAATATGGTTTAAAACTAAAAGTCTTGCTGTTGCTCTGCACCTCTATCGTTGGAGGTAGTGATTCCTTAAGATAGTCTTAGTACTATTCCCTGGAATACTGCGATTCGCCTCACCATTGGAATAACTGGAGTAAATCTGTGTTCCAGAATCCCATATCAGGCTGAGAAGGTGGCTCAGTGGTAGAGCGCTTGCCTTGCATGACTGAGGTCCTGGGTTCGATTCCTCAGCACCACATAATCAAAATGAAAAGCCGGGAGTGGTGCTGTGGCTCAAGTGGTAGAGCGCTAGCCTTGAGCTGAAGAGCTGAGGGACAGCGCCCAGGCCCAGAGTTCAAGCCTCACGACCGGACCCAAAAACAAACAAACAACAACAGAATTCCATATCTGTTCTCAGTGGCCGCCTTATCTAGGCTGTTGTCCCAGAATAATCTTATGTGAGCTTTCTTAGTCTCCAAACACTTCAAAGACCACCAAGAACTACAGCTTTTGTTTGTGTCAAATACTGCCACCTTTACTCAAGGGTAAATTATGAATTCTCAACGGGGTATTTAATTCTAAGTATTTTTAAGGGGGTAATTTACATGTCCTGTAGTAGAGGTATAGTGGGTCACTAATATTAAAAAAAAAAACGAACATGTGCAAATTTGTATAGTTCTTTACAATTTTTAAATAGTTTTATTTGACAATAATTTTAGACATATCAGAAAGTTGTAATATTAAGAATAGTAAAAAAGAACTCTTTACTTTTTAGTTATATTCACAAAGAATTAACACTTATTCTACTTTCGTGTTGTATATATAAATACATTTGTATTTACATATATGTAAATGTATATATATTTGTTTATGTATATTTATGTATATATATGTATATGTATATATGTTTATGTATATTTATGTATACATATATATATGTGTGTACATACATGCACATACATATATCACCACTTGAGAGTGGGTTGTATGTACATCACCACCCTTTAAACCTAAATACATGAGAGTATATGTTTCTCAACGTCAGGGCTATTTTCTTGCATAACCACAATTTACAGATGCTACTGAGCATCCATACAGTTAACATTGATATTCCATTTTAATTTCAGTTCATCTTCCAGTTTTGTCAGCTAACCCATTACCATCTTTTGCAGCCTTTTCTTTGTAGGTTACATGACAAAGAATGATTACAGGGGGAGATGAAAGAAAGCCTCTTCAGATCAGGCATTTCAGCACCTATCTCCTAGAATGGGGAAGTGACAACTCAGCAGGGAGGGAGAGGGTCTGATGGGTGGGTGGTGGAGGATGGGGAGCAGGAGGAGCCCCAGTTCACTGATGAGGCCAGATGGCCCCCATGTCCACATGGTTTCCCCTCTGCGTTCCATGGGGATCATTGAGTCTTTCGTCTGTGGCTAGGAAGGTTGTGAGGAAGACTCCGTCAGTGAGGATCCTAGGTGAGGAAGATAGCATAAAAATAGAGTGTTTTCTGGTTTCTCTCCCGTTTGTGGCTAATGTATTTTAATGTAATATGCCTGAAAGCCAAAGTAAGGAGGATTTAGAAAGACCCTGTAAGCTGTTTTCCTGCTAACAGAGCAAATGAGAGGTCTTAAAACAACTTCTTCCCATCTGTGTCTCCCTTGCATCTGGAAGTGTGCCCTGCTCTTCCCGAGGGGGAGCAGCTCACAGCATTCATTTGCACTGAGCCATTAGTGAGCTTTAGACGTTTCCCATCAAATTCCCCAGGCCCCTGAAACCGTTAGGATCCATTTTGATGATGAACCAAAGCAAAGAGACTGTACTGTTTGCATTTTTTTTTTAAAGAGAGTTCTGTTTCTTTTGAGGATTGCTCTTGAGATTTTTAGTAGAGCTCTTATTTTAAAAATATTTTCTTTCCTTCTCTCTCCACTTCCCACTCCCCCTGTCCTTTCTTGGTATCCTCCCAGTGCTTTGCTGACCACATTCTGAAAGAGCTGGACCATTTCCCACTGGAGAAGAGAGGCGAGGTGGTCATTCTCTTTTCTGCTCACTCACTGCCAATGTCTGTAAGTAAGAACATTCTGTTGGGTCACCTAGTGGTAGAGGATTGGTTGTTTTTATTTTCTTTCTTTTTTTTTGGTGGTGGTGGGGGGTCTGATTGTGGGGTCTGAACTCTGGGCCTGGGCTCTGTCCCTTAGCTCTTCAGCTCAAGGCTAGCACTCTACCACTGAGCCAACTTCCCAGCCCTGTTTTCATTTTCTGACATGTAAAATTGGCCTGGCTCCATTATATTCTAAGCCCAGTGTAAGAATGAACTCTAAAATTGAAGACTGAACTTGATTTAACATACTTCTTGAAACCTCATAGCAATAAATTTGAATTCTAGACCTTGTCTATATGTGGTCAAATGATAACTGGAAAATATATTCAGATATAAGAATTTCTAACAAAGACAAATGTAGAGTTAGGTGTTGATGACTCAAGCCCGTAACCTAAACTACTCAGAGATTGAAATCTGAACATCAAGATTGAAGCCAGCTAACTCAGGAAAGTCCATGAGACTCTGATCTGTAACCACTAAAAAACCAAAGATAGAGCTAACAAATGAAAAAGAGCTAAGGAACAGTGTTCAAGCCCTGAGTTTAAGCCTCAGTATGGCATGGGCGTGCATACATACATGCATGTGTACACACACACACACACACACACACACACACACACACACAAGATGAATGAAGAAAGAAGGGGTAGATAAATGTCCCAATAGTTGATGTACATATATGAAAATGGAACCAGTTAAATTGAAGGGGGATGGATGGGGTTGCAAGAGATGGGAAGAATAATAAAGGTATGACTTTGATCAAGATGCATTATGCTTATAAATTGACATGTTGAATTGAAACCCCTTTGTACAACTACTTAAAGATAATAATTTTAAAACGTCTAACAAGTAGGACAGCTAAAAGAAGTGTGCTTTTACCTGTCCCGTTAAAGCAGCTCAGCCTGAGATTCTGGCGAATTGCATTATACAGCCAGCCTCCATTTGATAAGCACTCTCCAGCTGGATACTTTGTTCTTCAAGATGTGATAATTACCATCTGAATTCCAGAAAGTAATTATAGTTTCTAATTTGCTAAGACTAAGACCACCATTTGCCAGTAAGCATATAGCATGAGCATGTTTGCTTATAATCCAGTTGTTCCTGAATCCATCATATTATACCAGGTTGTTTATGAAAATACCACACGTCACTCCATGCTCTTGTCTGCATGTGTATGTGTGTGTGCATGCATTCATGCACACACACACTCACATGCATGCACATACCTGCACATAGTACTGAGGTTTGAACTCAGAGCCTAACTCTTTTCTTAATTTTTTCTTTTTTTAATTTAAATTTTAATGTAAAGGTGATGTACAAAGGGGTTACAGTTACACAGTTAAGGTAGTGGATACATTTCTTTTTGAACAGTGTTACCTCCTCCCTCATTTTTCCACTTCATTTCCCTGACCCCTTTTTCCCCACAAGCTGTAAAGCTAATTTCCAACATAGTGTCTAGTGAGTAGCACTGTTGAATGGTTTACCCTTTGTGTCACCGTTTCTGTGGTACCCTTTCCCTTCCCCAAATCAGACAAAGGTACAGAAATCAAAAACAGTAACAACAGGGAGTAAACTAAAGGAAAAAAAAAAAGAAAGAACTGCAAACCATACAAAAACTAAAACAAAAAAAACCCTCTTGTTTCCATTTCTTGGAGTTCATTTCAATAGTCATCGTTTTTGTTTTTTGTTTTTGTCAGTTGTGGGGCTTGAACTCTGGGCCTGGAAGCTGTCCCTCAGCTCTTCAATTCAAGGCTAGTGCTCTACCACTTGAGCCACAGCACCACTTCCGGTTTTCTAGTGGTTTATTGGAGAGAAGAGTCTCACGGACTTTCCTTGCCCAGGCTGGCTTAGAACCTCAATCCTCAAGATCTCAGCCTCCTGAATAGCTAGGATTACAGGCGTGAGCCACCGGTGCCCAGCAATAGTCATCGTTTTATATGGTCACGTGCACATAGTTATTGAGCCACTGTGATCCTCTCCTAAGAATATCCTCCTTTGTTCTTGCTGTGTGAATGCTTAGAGTGCTGTTTAATTAATCATGTCAAAGTGTAATTATTTGTCTTTTACTATCCATTGGATTAATTTGTAGGCATATTCTTAGTTATTACAAATGAGGGAAACCGGCACTGGGAAGGTGGCTCAGTGGTAGAGTGCTTGCCTTGCATGCATGAAGCCCTTGGTTCAATTCCTCAGCACCACATAAGCAGAAAAAGCTGAAAGTGGGGCTGAGGCTCAAGTGGTAGAGTGCTGGTCTACAGCTGAAGAGCTGGGGGACAGCACTCAGGCCCAGAGTTCAGGCCCCACAACTGGGGAAAAAAAAATAACCAAATGAGGGAAACCATGCAGCCTATGTATCTTTGGATCTGGCTTACTTGCATAATGTTTTTTCCAAGTCTTTCCATTTCCTTACAAATGGGGCAGTGTCATTCTGATGGAAGCATATAATTCCATTCTATATATATGCCACATTTTCTTGATCCATTCATCCACTGAGGGGCATCTGGATTGAGTCCATATCTTAGCTATGGTAAATAATACACAACAAATAAAAGAAAGGCTATATAAATGGAATTTCATCAAATTGAGGAGTTTTTGAATGCCAAAGGACATAGCTAGCAGGATAAATAGAAAGCCCACAGAATGAGAGAAGGTCTTTACTAGCTATCCATCAGACAAGGGTCTAAATACATCTAAAATATACTTAGAGCTCAAAACCTTACATCCCGAAAAAACAAATCCTCAAAGAAACAACCCCATCAATAAGTGGGCTAGACTTAAAGAAAGACTTCTCTGAAGAAGAAATAAGAATGACCATCAGACACATGAAGAACTGTTCATAAAAGAACTGGTCATAAAAGAAATGCAAATCAAAACAACATTGAGATTCCCACCTCACCCCAGTTAGAATGGTCATTATTAAGAAAACTAATAATAACAGATGCTGGCAAGGATATGGCCAAAAGGGAAGACTACTACACTGTTGGTGGGAATGTAAACTTGTTCAACCACTCTGGAAAGTAATATGGAGATTCCTCAAAAGACTAAACATAGAGCTTCCCTGTGATCCAGGAATCCTACTCCTGGTCATTGCCAGCCTGTACTAACGTACCAGCATAACCATGTTCATTGTTTAGCCTTTTCTACTCTGGCCTGGAGCCTACTGTTACCTCTGGAGTCATGCCTCCAATTCCAACTTCTTACCTGTTAGTTGGAGATAAACGTTTCACTGATTTGTCTGTCGGGGCTGGTTTTTAGATCTTCAGATCTCAGTCTCTTAAGTAGCTAGGTTTATAGGCATGAGTTCATCATACCTAGCCTGTTGTCATATTCTTAAAAACAAGGAAGATCATGCTCATCTGCTGTATGACAAATGGAAGGCCTTGGAATAAGTACCTAGTTTGGTCAGTTCAGGTGGAGAGTTATGTTTTCTTAGTGTGATTAATGTTTAATGGAGCCAATCTCACTGTGGGGGCCATTCTGCTCACTGCTCCATACTGCCATCTGGTGGTTACCAGAGTCAAGCCCTGTGCAGTTTTCCATCCCTTACACCTCTACTATGGAGTTGCAACTTCTACAGTATATAAATTTCTCCCTTCTGGAAGTCAATTTCATTTAAAAATGATCATATTATCTTTCCCTGTGTTACAAAAATCATCTTTGCGTATTTTTCGTATGGATAATGAGACCTGAGGTATCCGAGGAGGTACCCTGACCAGGTTGGCTTTGAACCTTAATCCCCAGCTGTCAGCCTCCTGAGTAGGTAAGATTACAGATGTGAGCAGGGTAGGAGGAAACATTTGCACAGGCATATTCTAGGTACTGTCTCTCATCCTTAACTTCATTTCCTCTTCTTTGCCTCAGACTGAGCATGCTGCTTTGGGGGCCTGTGTGGACTGAGGAATGCTAAGGCAGGCTAGGGAAGATGGTGGATGATGGGAAAAGAACGCTGATCTTTCCTTAACATTTTATTTCTAATGACTGTTTAAACTTATTTTGAAACAATCTTTACACTTACAGAAAAGTGTCTTCCATGCCCTTCACCCCGATCTCCCTAATGCTAAGTCTTGTCTTAGGGGATCCAGTCTACTGTCTTGCATTACATTTAGTTGTCACATCCCCTCAATATCCTCCAATCAATGACAGTCACTCATGCTTTCCATTCTGGTCCCTTTGGTATTTTGAAGAATTATTTTTGTGGAACTGCAGTTCTTTTATAGAATGTCTGTCCATAATCAGATTGTGATTATGCATTGTTGGCAAGAACAGCACCTTGTTAAGAACGTCTTTCTCAGCTTCCCAGGGGAAATGACGTAGCTGTCTTTAACCTCTGGTGATGTGACCCTTGGTCATTGTGTAAGGTGGTATTTGCTATATGTGTCCATTGTAAAATTACTGTTTCTCTCTTTGCAATTAAAATATCTTGGAGGAGAAAATGTGAGATTTATATAAACATTTTGTTGTTCCAAAGGCATTGGCCACTCATTTTGTTTCTGGGGTGGATCTTGTCTATGGAAGATTGCTATACAATCATTAGCCTGTTGTTCTAATGGCAACTTTGTAGTTCTTTGTAGTTCTTTCATCTCTACTATATATATACACACACACACACACACACACACACACACACACACACACACACACACACACACACACACACACACACACACACACACACACACACACACACACACACACACACACACACACACACACACACACGTTGGGTCTTCCTCTGTCTTTGGACTGACGGGGTCCAAGGAAAGGTAAGTACGAAGTGCGGCCGCTAGTTCCCCCATCCTCCCTTAGCCCGGGAGACAATCAGAGGCAGCGGAGAGTCAAACTGAGCAGGAACTCGTTTATTAACAGGGAGCATCCCCTTTTTAAAGCAAAAGACTGCCAGGGAGGGGAGGAAATGGAACCAACCAATCACTGAAAGGCCACACCTTATCATGCACCTAAGCTTCCATGAGTTGTTTACACACTGAACCTAAACAAATCCAGCTCTGCCCACTCAACTTCCTCTCAGGGCCATCTTTGCTGCCTGTGTTCCCCACAGATCCCCCCCCCCATATATATATATATATAGTATCTTGTGGCTACCAAATCATTAAAAATATCATAAAGTGTTTTGTTGGCAGTATAGTATTAAATGCAGAACTATTATATTCCAGGCATTGTTATACCTTAGCTATCAGAATGAAGGAAGCGGACAAAAATCTTTGTCCCTGGGGTAAAGCAGGGAACCATAATTAACATAATACATAAGACAACAGTATGATAGGTTAGGAGATAAGAGATGTCACAGAAAAAACAGTAAGCAAGGTGAAGGTGCTATGGAGTCAGTGCACAATGAAATATTGATGCAGCTAAAATAAAATTTGTACTGAACAGTTCCACAGGCATTAACGGGCTGTCCTGTAGGATATGTATCAAACATTTGTGCTGTGCACAAAGCGAATGTGTACTATCGATTGTTGGGGGAAGGGTGGAGAGAGAAAATATAGAAGGTGCCTGTCGTGTGAGCCATGATCTGCTTCTTGCTTCTTCTTTTGTTTACTATAAACTCACCAGTTCTACACATCATCCATTCCAGCTGAAAAATCAGCCACTTCTGTTGACTCTTCCATCCAGCATATTTTGTTGTTTTCGGTCATGGAGCTTGAACTCAGGGCTGTCCCTGAGCTTTTGTGCTCAAAGCTATTGCTCTACCACTTGAGCCGCAGCTCTACTTCTGGGGTTTTTTTGCAGTTGATTGGAGATAAGAGTCTCATGGACTTTCCTGTCCAGGCTGGCTTCAAACTATGATCCTTAGATCTTAGCCTCCTGAGTAACTAGATTACAGACATGAGACATATCTTGAAAAGAGAATCATCTTCCTTAGAGCTGGCCCATCTCCCACATGCATAGTTTTATATCTTCAGGGCCTCGGGGATGGATGACTGAATGCAATGTTCTCTTTGGCTGGTGAAGAAATGGAACCATGGAAGCTCCTTGACTGCTTAGACCAAATTAGCATCAGTGCACCATGCAGAAAGGAAGGACTCCAATGTGGCGCTCAAAACATGCCAGCGAATGACTTGAAGCTCTTGGAGCCCTTCGTGGTGTTGATGATAACTATAATTGTGTCTCTGCTACAGGTGGTCAACAGAGGGGACCCTTATCCTCAGGAGGTAGGCGCCACTGTTGACAAAGTCATGGAAAGGCTGGGCTACTCCAACCCCTACCGACTGGTCTGGCAGTCGAAGGTAGGTCATTTCCGTACACTTGTGGGCAGTCAGCTGTTGAGATCATCTGTTTTAGGACTTAGTTATCAAATGCTTAGATTCACTTCTTTCATGGAGATAGACAGCTCTGTAACCTGATTACTCGCCATGGGCAGAAAGAACTATACAAGCAAGGGAAATAGAGGTCAGAAATCCCGGGACTAGTAGAGTTCCATTGGTTTAATATTTTATGAAATTCATCATAATGACAGAAATTATAATTGATTTATACTGGGCTAACTTCTAGGGGTAACTTGTGGGCTAACTTTGGGGGTAACACTAAAACGCAGACAGGCAGGCTCTCACTGCCGATGTGCCCAGGGTGGGGACTGGCCATGTGCTATAGACGGTTGGAGGAACGTCCCGTTTACACATTCATCCTTTCCCACAGGTGGGTCCAGTGCCCTGGTTGGGTCCTCAGACAGACGAGGCCATCAGAGGGCTTTGTGAAAGGGGGAGGAAGAATATCCTTTTGGTTCCCATAGCATTCACCAGCGACCACATTGAAACTCTGTACGAGCTGGATATTGAGTACGCCCAAGTCTTGGCCAAGGAGGTAAGTGCTCCCGTCTGCTCACGGTCGTCACAACTTGATTTCAAAGGCCGTTTGGAAAAAGTAGAGAGCAGTGAATTGTGCCATTCAAAAACTCCGTTTCCTCTGTGTGCTGGCATGTGCTGTGTCCTCATCGTTTTGGATAGCGCTTTATCCGAATAGTAATCCCAACACTTGGAGTGAATTTGTGTCAGCAGTGGGAGAGGACTTCTGTGTTTCTGCTAAAGCTAGTGGGCCAGGCATCACTGTGCTCACCATCCTTTAGTCCAGTTTCATTTACTGTCTGTGTGAAAGTAGTAACTATTTAATTTTTTTTTTTTTTTTTTTTTTTGTCGGTCATGGGGCCTGAACTCTGGGCCTGGGCACTGTCCCTCAGCTCTTCAGCTCAAGGCTAGCGCCCTACCACTTGAGCCACAGCACCACTTCCAGCTTTTTCTGCTTATGTGGTGCTGAGGAATCGAACCCAGGGCCTCATGCATACAAAGCAAGCACTCTACCACTGAGCCACCTTCCCAGCCCTGTAACCATTTAATTTTGAAGCCAGGTGCCAATGGTTCACACCTGGAGTCCTAGCTACTCAGGAGGCTGAGATCTGAGGATTGCAATTTGAAGTCAGCCTAGGCAGAAAAGTCCATGTGACTCTTATCCCTAGTGAACCAGTGAAAAGTCAGAGGTGAAGCTGTGGCTCAAGTGGTAGAGTGCTAGTCTGGTACAAGCCAATCAAAAGCTTGAGGCCCTCCCTGAGTTCAGGCCCCATTACTTGGCATTCACACACACACACACACACACACACACACACACACACACACACACACACACACACACACACACACACACACACACACACACACACACACACACACACACACACACACACACACACACACACACACACACACACACACACACCTAAATTTTTCTAAGAAAAAATAGTCATACATCTCATTAATTCTGAGGGGGAATGTTTGCTGTTTTACAATTCCTTTCCTTCATCAAGCACGCTGGCATCCTTTTTATTTGGGATGGTACACTACTTCTTGTTGGGTTTCAAGGCATGTAGCGCATTATCATTTCAGAGAAGAGCCCAGAGTGAACGCGGAAGTGGTACGTATTGTAATTTCCTTGACCTCTTTTATGCGCTCACTTAATTAGCTGTTTGCTATCATGTTGTGATCAATCTGATTATTGAAATACCAAATACCACTCTGGGTGTTTCGTAATGTAAGATGGATGTGAATTGTCATTCAGGGTAGAGAAAAACTTGTTTACCTATCTTGTGGTTTCTGAGAGCCAGCCTTGAAATCATCCAATTTATGCCTGCATTTCTGTCAGGACTTGGGAAGGCCTCTCTCCCTCCCAGTCTCTGCAAGGGCCTGTCATTCCAAGCTTGGCCTTGTAGAACCCAGGCCCTCTCTAGGACTAGGCGGTAGATTCAGGATGGAGAGTGGGTGGAGCAGAACTGGGGCCAGACCACAGCCTCTTGTTAGGGTGCCCATGCTGGTCAGTCATCAGTGAAACATGGACGAAGGTCAGGCGTGCCTGCATTGGCTCGTTGGTACTTTTGAACTCAGGCCAGTTGTAATTGTCCAAGGTGAGATTTCAGCATTATCCCCAGGTTTCTTTCAGTGATGCCATTTTGTCCTCGGTCTGGACTTTGGCTAGTTTGAACTTGCTTTAAAAAAAAAAAGGTTTTAAAAATTCATTTTTGTCTATATTGAATGGTAGTTTACATCCATTCATATTACTAAGCTGAAATTACTAACAGAAGGGAATATTAGTGACTGATGAACCAATCCCTGAAGGAGACAAAGAAAACTACCCTTTATCATCATTTCCTCCATGGGAGAATGGAATATGTCTAAAATATATTAATATATTTAAAACAAGTTAACGTCAAAAAGCTTTTTTTTTTTTCCCCTAAAAGGATGGCTATGGCCAGGCGCTGGTAATCCTAGCTACTCCAGAGGCTGAGATCTGATGATTGTGGTTCAAAACCAGCCCGGGCAGGAAAGTCTGTGAGATTCTTATCTCCAATAAACCACTAGAAAATGAGAAGTGGTGCTGTGGCTCAAGTGGTAGAGCAGTAGCCTTGAGCTGAAGAGCTGAGGGACAGCGCCCAGGCCCAGAGTTCAAGCCCCATGACTGACCAAAAAAAAAAAAAAAAGGATTAATGAATGGTGAGAGAGAGAGAATGTGTGTGTGTGTGTGTGTGTGTTCTGGTCCTGGGACTTGAACTCAGGGCCTAGGGTCTGTCCCTGAGTTTCTTTTGCTCTAGGTTCTCACTCTACCACTTGAGTCACAGCTCCACTTCCAACTTTTTTGGTAGTATACTGGAATAAGATTCTCATGGCCTTTCCTGTCCCAGCTGCTGAACTGCAGTCCTCAAATCTCAGCCTCCTGAGTAGCTAGGATTGTAGGGGTGAGCCACAAGTACCTGGCTAGAAATAGCTTTTGCTTTCTTTTTTCTTTTTTCTCTTTTGGTTACTTGTGGGGCTTGAACTCAGGGCCTGGGCACTGTCCATGAGCTTTTTCATTCAAGGCTAGTTCTCTACACTTTGAGCCACAGTGCTGCTGATGGTTTGCTAGTGGTTAATTGAAGATAAGAGTCTCATAGACTTTCATGCCCAGGCTGGCTTTGAACCGCGATTCTCAGATCTCAGCAGCCTGAGTAGCAAAGATTATAGGTATGAGCCACCAGTGCCTGGCTACATTAGGCTTCTACCTGCTTGATAAAAATGGTATTTTGTTCATACTATTTTGTCATCTCCTGTTTTGTTTTTTCCTCTTTTTTTGTGCCAGCCCTGGGGTTTGAACTCAGGACCTTGGTGCTGTCCCTAAGCTTTTGTGCTTAAGGCTAGTGCTTAAGGCTCTTCTACTTGAGCCACAGTTCCACTTCTGGCATATAATTAGAGATGAGAATCTCCCATACTTTCCTTCTGTAGCAGGCTTCAAATCAGATCCTCAGATCTCAGCCTCAGCAGCTAGGATTACAGGCATGAACCACCAGTGCCTGGCCTGTGTTTTCTTTTTAAAAAATGTATCATGGACCCAAATCAGTATATTTAATTAGGTCTCTGTAACTTAACAAATTTCTGATTCATACACACACACACACACACACACACACACACACACACGCATTTGAAGTATTACTAGTGTAAACCACTTTATAATAAATACTTTCCTTTTTCCAGTATTACCTTGCCTGGAAAGGCATTTAGAGTTGTTCTGTATTTTCCTGGATTCCCTCCAGAACTGGGCTAATTGGCTGCAGCTGTGATGTCAGAGAATGCCCTTTGACAGTAGGGTTATTCTGCTGCCACTGACTTTCTCCTTGATTTTGTGTTTTGGTGCTAAGGACTGAACTCAGGGCCTTGTGCATGCTAGGCAAACAGTCTACCCTTTGAGCCATGCCCTGGTCCTTATATTTTTATTTGGTTTTTGAGACAGAATGTCACTAACTTTGCCCAGTTTGACCTCCAGCTTAGGATCTTCCTGCCTCTTCCTCTTCAGTAGTCAAGGTTACAGGTATGCATTACCATGTTTGGCTGACACTGACGCTGGGAAATTGCATGAACTGTAACAGTTCGTGAAATTTTAAAACCTAGCCTCTTCCTCAGCCAGTTAAGTCTTTGCCTGGAGATCTCTGGATGTTAATGCTAATTTAAAAGATAAATCAATTGATAAGCTCTCTTGTCAGCAATGGGAAAGAGAAGATTCTAGCTACCTAAGTCAAAAGTAGATGTTTTCAGTTATTTGAGGGTAATTAACTGAATAGTTTTGAAGAGGAATATTACTGACCAATCTTTTTTTTCCTTAAATTTTTCTCTGTTAAAATAATACACACACACACACACACACACACACACACACACACACACACACACACACACACACACACACACACACACACACACGCACACGCACGCACACATTCAGCTGTGCATTGGATCCAGTCTAGATCCCATAAACATTTAGAGCCTATAATTAATTTCCTTTGTTTTGGTATTTAGCAACCAAGCAAGCAGAACATTTTACTTAATTAAAGCAACATTGTACTAGTAGAGTCTGTAAGTGTATACATGAGGAAAAAAATGCTAAAAACAAGAACAAAAATGAATTAAATCACATGAGAATGCCCTCCCACCTGAGAGTGGAGACAGCACCTGTGGGCGGGTGGGGGTGGGGAGGCAGAGGGGTGGCAGGCGAAGGGCCACGTGGCAGATGCGGCTCCTGGACCTCACTTACCAGCTCATCGACACTCCAGGTCAGACTGACTTGTGTACCTGGATCTATGTGTTTATTTGTTTATACGTATTTTTTGTAGTACTCAGTTTCTTTAAAAAAAAAAAAAAGAAGAAGAAGAAAAGGAAAATAAAATGTCTCTGCTTTTCTTCCCCTTTCTCATTTGATTCAGTGTGGAGTTGAAAACATCAGAAGAGCGGAATCTCTTAATGGAAATCCATTGTTCTCTAAGGTATCTGCGGCGTTACGAGCACTTTAGTAGAACATACCAGGACTAATCCTCTGAGAAGCTCGCAGAATATTGCTTTTCTCACATATTAGTACATTCCGAGTTCCAATTAATTACAAAAATAAGATCGAATTCCTTATCTGCCCCCTCCCTTTTTTCCTCCATAGGTAGCGCCAATTTTCTTATTTCTAGCCATCTCTAACGATGTCTAATTTAAAATCTGCTTTTCAGAAGAAAGGTAGAATCGGGAGGGGGAAGAGAAGATCTCCTTTGCTAACATTGCTGAGGAGGCTCTGGAAAGGAAGAAGCTATAAAATTGAGTTCAGGCAGTTTCCCCAAAGAAGCCCCCAGCCAGGACCCAGATGTGGGCAGAAGATAGAAAGGTGCACCCTCAGGACCAGCGGCTTTGTGGCTTCTCATGGACCTGTGCTCCTGTGTCTTGCAGGCTCTGGCTGATTTGGTATACTCACACATGCAGTCAAACAAGCTGTGCTCCAAGCAGTTGACTCTGAGCTGTCCTCTGTGTGTAAATCCTGTCTGCAGGGAGACTAAATCCTTCTTCACCGGCCAGCAGCTGTGACCCTGCCTGAGGACCCACGGGATTAGGCAAATGCCCAACCTCCAGACACCTCGGATCGGGAGGAGGACACTACTTAGAGATGAAGGAAGCAAGCCTTTGGGCACAGACTGTGTGATTTTCTGGGGTGTGGATTCTGCCATCCTGATCAAGGGATTTCTGTTTGTATTTACCTAGACATAAGCATCCCCAGTCCTTCTCTCAGGAGAAATTGATTAGTTCGGAATGTCCAGTAGGACATGAAAAACACTGAGTATTTTTTATCTTATGAGACACTTATCTGTTTTAAATACAGGGTTTGCTTTTTATTGTCCAAAACCACCTCGTAAAAGTGGTATGGAGCGTCGTCTCTGGGGGCTGGCAGGGTGAGTGAAATCTGGGGACAGAGCCTCATGCATGCCAGTAGTTTCTTGAATGAATATAGTTGAGTTTGTGAAATATAAAAAAGAAGCGCTGAGCTGGCTGTGTAGTTGAGAGGTAGAGCGTTCACCTAACATGCAGAAGGCCCTGGGTTTAACCCCTAGTCACATACACACTCTGCCTGCTCTTACCTATGTCAGAAAGTAACAGTGCTGGTGAGTCAGTGTATGGGCCAGTGTTGCCAGCGAGGCCACCAGTCATTAGTCATTGTGGTGGCTGTGTGAGGCTCATCTCTCCTCTCCCGAATGCCCAGACAGAATGAAGCACACACGCTACTGCAGTGAGACTCGCCAGGCTTGCAGGCTAACATACTTAAAGAAGCCAACACTCACCACACAGCCCTTGGTCTGAGTCCTAGGTGCCTCAGGGAAGGGAGCGCCCGCCCGCCACTTTCAGTCTCCAAAGACAGTACTGCTGGGAAACACCATCAATGGGCTTCATCTTAAATCTCCCCTGGGCCCAGGGAGTCTTTTTGCTCTATATCTCCTTGATCTTGGTTTCTTTTCTGCACATTTGTTTAGGAGCTATTTTATAATGTCAACTATATTTTTTAACTTTGGATTCTTTCTTCATTTATAATTTTTTGTTTGAAAATTATATAGCCATATAATAGGACATTAGGAAAATACAAAGAAAAAAAACCTCAACCACTAATGCAAAATATTGTTACCATTTTATTGACTGGCATTTCTTACCTCCTTTTCCTGTGGATTTTTAAAAAATTATTATGAAAATGTCATACAGAGGAGTTACAATTACATGGGCAAGATAATGGGTACATTTCTTATCAAGCATTGTTGTTTTCTCCTTTGTTTCCCCTTCCTATCCCTTCCCATCTTCCTGCCTCCCCCCCACCAAAGTTGTAAAGTTCATTTTAAGACATAATGTCTTGTACATCTCATTGTTGCAATGGGTCCACCTGTGGATGTTTTTGATGTCATTTTCACCTTGAATTTGTGAGTGAAAATTGTTGTAAAAATGCAGAAATAATGTTGGATCAGGATCTGATCTATATTTGATGGATCTGTGAAGAGTTTGTAATGATCACTATTTTGCTGCTCAAGGCATCTGAAACTTTGTTCTTTAAAAAAAAAGGCACTTCTTTGATTGTTTGAAAAAGCCAGTTTATAAAGTAGAAGTAATTAAGGGATTCATAGATCTTCTATATTCAGGATTTCCTATTAATAAATATTATGACTTCATTAAGATTTTAACCAATTTAATTCATGCTGTCTCTTAGTCTGATTAAAATGATTAAGCAGGAGGAATTTACTTTGTAATATGGAGAAAGAAAGATGCCATCTGGCTATGAATCATTTTTCTACACTGATAATGGCCCTCAAATATGAATCGCATCTCTTTTTCCCCCAATTGGCTTTCTTTTTTATTAGGTGTGTTTCTCAGGAAAGATGAGAAGCATTGTTTAGAATTTTCCTCTCTCCTTTTCCATGACTTTTTTGGAGATTGGGCTCAGAAAGGACTTGGTGACTGGCCCACAGTGGAGTGAATTCTCTGGGTTGGTGGCCTGGCGTAGGGAGGTGGGTTAAACTTAAAACCACTTTCCCTGGTTCAGGAAACCTGCTGGTGATCTTTCTGTTCATTCCTTCAGCTTCTTTAGATGGAACTATATTGGCACAGAGAAGTTGCAAAAAGTGCAGAACACTTGCTAGGGTATCTGAAGCCTTTCATTTGATAAGAAACCTTCAAATCAGCAGTGACAGGGATGTCTGCAACAATATGCCGATACTCATGGGAGCAAAGAGTTTGTGGAGGTTACTGCCTTATGGCTTTTGTGCCTCTGAGGCAGTTGTCTTTGACAATAACCATTGGTGGACGATAGCATTTGCATTTGGTGGGATACTTTGTGTGTGTATACCAGTACTGGGACTTGAACTCAAGAGCCTTGCACTCTTGGTTGGCTTTTTTGCTCAAGACTGGTGTTCTAACACTTGAGCCACAGCTCCACTTCCAGCTTTGCTGGTTAACTGGAGATAAGAATCTCACCGACTTTCCTGCTTGGGCTGGCTTCCATCTCAGCCTCGTGAATAGCTAGGTTACACACATGAGCCACTAGCACCCAGCTGATAAAATTTTTCTTAGAGCTCATTGTCTGAAAATTGTTTCCCTGTTTGTCAACGTTGAAGTACTAATGTTTGCCCTGGTAATTAGCAATGGACTTCTAGCAGTCCTCAAGCGGGGCTGAGTACAGACCTGGCTTTTAATTGATGAGTCCAAACTGCAGAAGACTTGCAGGGGCTGTGCCAAGAGGCAGCTCAGCCTGCCAGGGTGATTATGTGGCCTAGGACCACACGTGTGCAGTGTTCTCTGAAAGAGCTCCCTTAAAGGACATGTTTGCACTCGGAAATGAACTCATTGCTTGAAGCCCTTTAAATGTATATTAGTGGCCACTTGGTGTTGAGTAAATAGTAAAAAATCCATGGCTTTCCCTGTGAGTACCTCAGAGCGCATACATATCCTTGCTCAAGTAATCCCCGTGGTAAGAGAGGAACGATTCACTGGGATTCTGTTATTTTTTTTCTTTATGATTGAAACTAGACAATGAAGATTAAGTAGGCAGGGAATATGAAATTTTCTGCTTCAAGTTCTCCAAAGTAAACCTGTAAGGATGGACAATCTCCTATCAACGACCTTAAAGTCAGATTTGTTCATTTATCTTTTGGGTTCATCTTAGCAGTAGATTTTTCATTTTTCCTTCTTCTTGCTTTCTGTCTGGAGCCCATACGCTGCTATCGTGGGACATGTCATTTAGGAAAAAGTAGGCCCTACTTGTATTCTTCAGCTCCTCTGTTCCCCTAAATTGTATAGCTCGTTCAGGAAACCCTAACTTAAGACACAGGAGGGAGATGTTAGCACAATCTGATCCCCTCAAGCTTATCCAAAATAAGTTGGAACGGGCTGCTGCCCCAGCCCAGGCAGGACCTGCAGGAAGAGCCACTGGGCCCCTCCCCGCCCCACCCCCCTGCAGTGGTTTCTCTTCTGGTCTAAGGAGTAGGCATTGCATAGCTACAGCTAGAGGGCTAAAACGATAACTGGTGGCCACAAAGAAAGAACATTAAAAATGTACTTGATGATAATTTCTTAAATAAATGTAACGTGCACAGGCATGTGCATCTCTAATCTCTTCCCTAGCATGGAAAATCCCTCTTGTGAGAATCCTGCAGCCAAGCTGGGTGCTGGTGTTCACACTTCTAATCCTAGCTACTCAGGAGGCTGAGATCTGAGGATCGAAGTTCAAAGCCAACCCAGGCAGAAAGGTCCGTGAGACTCTTATCTCCAATAAACCACTGAAAAAAAACCAGAAGCAGTGCCATGTGTGGCTCAAGTGGTAGAGCGCTAGCATTGAGCACAAAGAGGTTTCAGGGGCAGCGTCCAGGCCCCAAGTTCAAGCCCCAGGACTGACCAAAAAAAAAAAAAATCTGCAGCTAGCACAAGACTGTGCCTCCCAGTGCCAGGTGGAAAGGAGAAATTCTTCAAGACTTCAAGACCACACAAGCTGGGGAAGGAAAGTCTGTGGATACCTCAGATAGTGCCTTCAGCTAGGGCGGTTCAGTTCCTCCGAGGAAGACAGAAGCTAATCATTCCATGAATTAGTTCTAAAAATTAAAAACAGTTAATTAAAGTCATGCCCCAGAAAGCCTTTGCAAACATTATTCACAGTAGTTTGGTTCTAACTGCCCCATCATTGAGAAGCCTTGTAAAAGCCCGGGACAGCGATTTTCTTCTTCCTCTTCCTCTTCCTCGTCTCCTCTCCTCCCTTCCCATTCTTTCCCTTCCTTTCTTCATTTTTTCTCTTTTTCCTTTCCTTATTTTTTTTTTTGTTTTAACATTAAGGTTGAAATAGTTTCTATACAGTTAATATTTGTAAGTTAGCAAACATCATCTTGAGAGCAGAGTTGGTTTTTCTATAAGCAATAAAATTATATTCAAGAAAGCCATGGTTTATAGCTAATAGGTCCATAAATGTTTTTCTACATATAGAACACCCAATCTACAAACTCTCTGGGAAGTATATCCTAAAAATATCAGTTACCAGATTACTAAAAGTAAGTGAACCATATATATATATGTATATATATATATATATACATATATATACATATATATATACATATATATGCAACCTATAAGTGCTAAAATCTTAAATGTATATTTAAAAGTTACTTGCAAATATTAAAATATTGCATCTCTGGTGACAAACCTGAAATCTATCCAATTTTTTTCTTAGTTTTCATACTTCATACCTTTACCCCTTTTTTATTATTCAATATCCATGGGGATGTGTTGTTTTCACCAATATCCTTACATTGCAACAATATTCATATATCAAATGCATTAAAACTAGATATTTGTATGACTCAAGAAGCCCAAATTCTACTTAAATCACTGCCAATTTTTCTTTTTTTTAATTGTGAAAATACTGTATAGAGGGGTTACAATTACATGAGCAAGATAATGAGTACATTTTTTATCAAGCATTGCTGCCTGTTCCTTTGTTTCCCCTTCCCATCCCTTCCCATCCCCCCTCCACCAAAGATGTACAAGTACATCTCATTGTTGCAATGG